CTATTTCGAATACATCAAACCAAACAATGTATAAGAAATAATGCAAGCATAACTAATGCTTACAAGGCTTGCTATTTCGAATACATCAAACCAAACAATGTATAAGAAATAATGCAAGCATAACTAATGCTTACAAGGCTTGCTATTTCGAATACATCAAACCAAACAATGTATAAGAAATAATGCAAGCATAACTAATGCTTACAAGGCTTGCTATTTCGAATACATCAAACCAAACAATGTATAAGAAATAATGCAAGCATAACTAATGCTTACAAGGCTTGCTATTTCGAATACATCAAACCAAACAATGTATAAGAAATAATGCAAGCATAACTAATGCTTACAAGGCTTGCTATTTCGAATACATCAAACCAAACAATGTATAAGAAATAATGCAAGCATAACTAATGCAAGCATTATTAATGCTTGCATTACTAATGCATGCATTACTAATACATCATATTCAACATTATTCTTATACACTCTACCAAACGACCCCTTAGAGTATTAGAAATGGTACAAAACTACCATCCATCCACCTATTGGCTCCAAAATACCCTTCTCATCCACCTATTGGCTCCAAAATACCCTTATCATCCACCTTTGGGTTCAAAATTGACCACTTAATTAACGGTTTTAAATTTAAACTATTTAAATATTTTTTTTAAATACGAGTAAGGGTCGTAGGGATAGGACTAGTAAAGTAAAGCCTTACCTTAGTCTTGCAAGTCTTTTCGTGTGCATGTCTGCTTTCTTGTTCTCAGATGCTACATAACGGCTCTTTAACGCATTCCCTAGTTGAATAACTTATCTTAGTCCGCCTTTAGGTTCTTGCGCCTTATCCGCCTCATTGAGGCAATTACCAGTCAACGTTAGTTGCGAAAAGAAGGAAATTTGGTTAGAACGGGGGCTGCTCTCTCGCACTTCCCAATCTACGTTCAAGCACACCAATTCCAGCCGGTGCTTAACTATTTGTTATATTTAACTTATTAATATAATTTATAAACCAACCCACTACCCACCCATTACTAATTAAACTCCACCCAATTAATAAACCCACCCAACAATTATGTTCTTCTCAGTCAATTTCTCCTAGGTTTATAATTAAGATTAGTGTTTTAATAAACCATTCATTCAACATTAACAAACAAACAGCCTCATTGGCTTCCAAACAAGACTAGTTAACTAGTTATAATCAACAAGTGAATTACAAAGACCATTCATTCAACATTAACAAACGAACAACCTCATCGACTTCCAAACAAGAGCTAGAGATAGTAATATAGACCAGTTAACTGAGAAATAAGCAAAACACTAATCTTATAAGCCTAGAAGAATTTTTTTCTATCACTCTTTCATCATGAATAAACTTTTTAAAAACTCAAAGATTGGTTCTTGAGATTTTCAATTCCATTAAAATCGAACCAAAAAATAGAAAATTGACTAGGTATTTTTGCAATCTGTCTAAATCTTAAAAATCAATGGAGGATTTTGTTAAACGTAGGAGAAATTGACTGAGAAGAACACGGTCTTAGAAAGGAAGGGTTCAGAGTTTTGTTTAATATGGTGGATTTTGGGCGGGTTTATTAATTGGATGGGGTTTAATTAGTAATGGGTGGGTAGTGGGTTGGTTTATAAATTATATTAATAAATTAAATTATAACCAATAGTTGAGCACCAAGTATTTAAAAAAATATTTAAATAGTTTAAATTTAAAACCATTAAATAAGTGGTCAATTTTGAACCCAAAGGTGGATGAGAAGGGTATTTTGGAGTCAATAGGTTGATGAGAAGGGTATTTTGGAGCCAATAGGTGGATGAGGGGTAGTTTTGTACCATTTCCAATACTTCGAGGGTATTTTAGGCCATTTTCCGTAGAAAAAAAGAATGTGGAGTGTTTTTTTGTTGTAAATGTTCCTACATTAATAAAATATTTATGTGTAATAAATTAAGTAATTTACTTTTACAATATAATAATTAATTTGAATTTTAAAAAAAGTCAAAAAAGAAAAGAAAAAAGAAAAATTATGTTTCTCTTTTATTATAAGTGAGACAAACCAATAATAATAATAAAAAGAATGTGAAGAGTTTTGTTGTAAATGTTCCTCCATTAATAAAATATTTATTTGTAATAAATTTATTAATTTATTTTTACAATATAATAATTAATTTAATTTTTTTTAAAAGCCAAAAAAATGAGAAAAAGAATAAATGCAAATGGAGGCCATAGAGAGGTGCCACATTACCTTATCTATGTTTTTCCTTTATTATATATACATATTTTACTTAAGTAAATGCAAAGTTTCTAATTGTAAAATTATTTATATATGTAAGGCAGATTCACCTTATAGTTAAATGGTTTTACGCGACACCATTTCATCGAAAAATCTTACGAAATATAAGCAACTATTTCTATTATTGGATGTATTAGTTAATTTCAAATTTTTTTGTTGACTCGTCTTAGTTTCAATTATTGCATGAATTAGTTCATACTGAAAAAGCATCCAGTGGCAAATTACATATATCTATGAAATTTGATAATCTTCTCATAGTAATAAGGTGAGCGGATCTTATTGCGGTTGGCAAAAAAAAGTCCAACTTACAAACTATTTTTTAATTAGGTTATAATGTAAGGATATATATTGAAAAATATATTTTTTTTCAATTTTTTTTTAATGTTTGATTGATTAAAATATTTTGGAATATTTTTGTTTGAGAAAAAACAAGTTTCTTTAAGAAAAAGAAAAATGACAAGACGGGTTGCTAAGATCATGGTAAGCAACTTTTACCTCTGATCCTACCGTTGTTGGGTTCAAGTCACTAAGTGAGCAAAAAAAGTGGGAGCTTTTATAAAAATAAATCACAAGACTTGTGATTAAATTTTTTTGGAGGATCTTAGTAGTTCGATTAGTTTGCTAAAATTAGAACTTTCACTTTATTGGTGAGGGCTCAATTTTCACCTGGTAACTCCCTCTATCCCCAATATAATTTTAAAAAAATTAAGAAAAATACGTAAAAAAAAAAAAAAAAAAAAATAGACTTCATAAATGAAAATAGAAAAAATAAGTTCCATAAATGACATTCCACGTTCATTATCTCTTGATCCTCCCCACCCACCCAAAGCCCTCAACCCCCATCCCTTGACCATCTCCCCCACCCCTATCGCGCCTCTCCCAAACCTTATGTTATAGGGGATCGAATATGGAATAAAAATGCAGGTATTATTTTTCTTGGTGAATAAGCAAATTTTATTTATTACCAAGTGATCGACAGTTACAAAATATAGGGAGGAGCTAAGCAACACACCACACATATAGATGTAACAATAGTGTACTTCTTTTGTATAAATATATAATTCAACTTTACAATTTTTATTTATTTTAAGAAAAATAATTTATGAACATACCGAGGAGTAATATTTGTTACTGTTCAATTTGTTATCCCTAACATTCTATTTTCCTATTGTTTTTAACATCTCTTTTTTATTGTTACTTTTTCTTTTGACATTTAAGTTTGATATGTTATATAAAAATCGATGGTTATCAAAAATATTTTTTTCTAATTTCACAAAGTATAATTAAATTGTATACTATATACTATCCTCTTGAGATATATGTATAAAACTAATTATGTTACTCCCTCCGTCCCATTTTATATGATGTACTTTGATTTGGCACAAACTTTAAGAAAAATGGAAAGACTTTTAAAACTTGTGGTCCAAAATGAATGATAGAAATTTGTGTGGTTGTAAATCATTTCATTAAGGGTAAAAAAGACATTTTATAGGCAAATTGTTACTTAAAATAGAAATGTGTCATTCTTTTTGGGACTGACTAAAAAGGAAAGTAAGTCATATAAATTGGGACAGAGGGAGTAGCAAATGCATTACGTTTCGTATCAAAATGTGAATTTTCTTGCATAAGATCAGTTTCTCATTTTAATTTTAACTATTAAATGCTAGTTAATTTTGTTAACATATACTAATCTTTAATGTAATTAAATTTTGATTTCCATTCTTTGTTTCCTATTAAATTAAAGCTGATTTACAATTTACTTCCACTTCACCGTTTTTTCTAAGATATTTGCAATTCATTAAAGAGGGTTATTATTTTTTTTGTTTATTTTTTTTTTAAAACATTTTCAGTGAAAATATGAGTCCAAGATTTATGATGGTTGTTGCTATTGTGAGTGTTCTCATTTGCGGAACTAATTGCGAAGAGAGTTATGGTAGAAAACTGTTAGAGGATTGTGCTCAAGATGATGATCAGAATTCCACTCAAACTGATCAACCAGTTCTAGTTCCATATGGCTTCGATTTGACTCAAGTACGTGATCAAGGAAATTCGTATATAACAGGTGAGCCAATTGATCCCGATGATCTCGCACGTTTTAACAATTTTCATCAATCTGCTCAAATTGATCAATCAAATGAAAATCCATGTGACTTAAATAAATCAGATATGCCTACATTGGATGGGCCAAATGGTGTTGGAGAGCCACTTTTAACTAGTGATCAGAATTCCACTCAAATTGATCAATCAAGTCAAATTCCATTTGGCTCTGATTTGACTGAAGTACCTGATCAATCAAACTCGAATACATTTGATGGATCAATTGGTATCGATGAGTACTTTTAACCGCTGATCAATATTTCATTCAAATTGATTAATCAAATCAATATTCATTTGTCTTTGATTTGACTCTTATATATGATCAATCAAATAATAAATTTTCGTCTATATAAGCAATTTAACCACGTTATAACTTATATTACATGTTTATTATACATGTATAAATAATACTCTCTTTACCTGAAACTTTTTTTGAAAAGTAGATAAGTATAACACCATATTGAAATTGATTTTGGGCATGATGTGTACATTAAGCAACAATTTACAATTTCTCAAACTCATTTATGTATAGTCAAATTTAAAATTTCAAAATATCGATGTATATCATTTATCGAGGATAATTAGTAAAATAAACACTTAAATCGATTATTTAGAACAATCAGTAGCCTTAAAGGATACTCTCTTATTCTTTAAATCATAACCAACCAAGAAATTCATCTGTGCAATATTCCCAAAAATTTGACCACCATATGATGCAGCAAAAGCAAAGCACATTGAACTATCACTTGTCGCCACAAATGTATTCCATGGACCCAATCTCAGATCTGCACCTATAAAATGCATCGTAATTATCGGAATTTTATCGATGGAAAGAGATTTGTAGCACAAATTTAAAGAACCAGTTGGATCCGCCACAGTGGGCAGCTTGATTGCACTCTTCACCATTGATTCTAGTTTCACATAGATTTCAGTCGAAAACAGAGTTAAAACTGTGCCTGAATCGATTATAATGTTACCTTCTCCGTAAGAGAATGACACATTTCGGAAATCCAATCTTTCTTTACCCACACTAACACCTTCCAGTGTGAGAAAATAGTACGTTGCTGGGAATTTTCGAGCTAATGGTGTTGTAACAACTTTATCTCCTGGAACAAATCCGTCTGTACCAAAATGGATTTTGCTTTGAGGAATATAGTTTTTCTGTTGATAAAATGGAGCTAAACAGTAGGAGAATTTTCCCCCAATTGACGAACCCATTTGGGAAATTAACGAAAATTTTCCACCTCCAAGCCCTACAATCCCTGATTCTTTGTCACCACTGAATGTACCTGCATTATTGTGTCCGCATCCAATAACTGTTTTCTTCAATTTCACTCGTTTGTTTTTCGATGATCCAAATCGTATCGTCTCTGTTGCTAAATCACCAATGCTGTACGAATTATCTCCGTACCTGACGTGATACCTGCAGGTCTTCTTCTTCATCCTGTTGCAGGACGTTGGAAAATTGGCAGCGTGACACATTTTGGAACTGCAGTGTAAGGGTTTATAAGTTGATGATTTTTTTGGGTTGAAGATACGAGATTGTTGCTTGAAGCAATTTTTACAGGGTAAACACTGAGTCCATGTGAGGTCGCTGCCAGTATCAGCGACCCCTAAGGTATGCACAGGAGGCGTACCTATGGAGTATCTCATGAGATACTCTCCGTTGTTGGAAGCAACAACGATAGAGGATGAGGGTGAACAAAGACTAATGGAACGATTGAATGAGCGATGAAATGAATTGTTCATTCGCTCCGTAAAACTTAAGGAAGGATCATAAAAGGGGGAGTTTGGTGAATCTCTATGAATGAGATCAATGCTAAAAACATTGTTCATAGCTTTTGTGAATTGAAATATTGAAGAAAGTAGAATAGCAAAGATGGTGAAAAATGAATTATGTGTCACACAATTTGCCATTGTTTTAGACATTTTTAGTTTGACTGTATGTGATGTGATTTATACTTGTAACATTTATTCAAACTGAAGTTAATATGATTTTACTATAATTAAATTGAGGAAATTATGTTAATCCAGAAATAATGATGATTCAATTTGTAATTCTACTTTCATTACATAAGTTAATGTAGGAGTATTTTTCTTGTCTAATATGCAAAGCTTTATTTGACCCGCATTGAATATAATTTGAAATTGTTCAATTCTTTTGGGGATGTAAATTGTTGTTAATTACATGGTGTAATTGCAAACAGATTTCTTTTTAATTTCTTCCTTTTATTTCTATTTTTATTTTTTTGTTTTAATGTATTTTTATTTTTATTATTCTAATATTTTTTTATTATTTATATTTCATTTCCTTCTTATTCTCAACATTTATTTCATGTGATTCCATGCAATTTTTTGTATTAGCTAAAAAAAATTATTAGTATAATTTTGCTAGTATTAAAATTAAAGTAGAATCCGTTGTTGAATAAAGTTATGGACTTAAGTTTTCCTTTTAAAAACATAAGAGTATTATGTTAAATTTTTTGTTTAGAATTTAGAACTTATGTTATATTTTCAATTTCATTTGTTCTAGGAGTATTGACTCAATATTTTACATTGCAAGCTATTTTTTTAAGTTAGACTTGATAAAAAAAAATTGTCAAATGTTTTATAATTTATGATAATTATATTTATAATATTAATCTTTTTGTCAAACATGCATTTCATGATGTTCATAGAAATGATGTATTTTTAGTTTTTATGATTAGTATAATTAAAATATGCTAAATAGAAAAATATAAATCAATTATTTTTTATAATATTAGTCAAGAACATATATTTATTAATTAATATATTTTCAAAAGACAATATATATCTTAAATATTCAATTTAATATCATTTATAAAGGCCATTATTTGTCTAATATAACTTTTTAATTTTAAATAATTAATTTATATTTTAAAACTTCAATATAACCTTATGATTATTAAAAAAATAAATATATAACCTTATGATTATACTTGTGCAACCAAACAATGTTGTAATTACATTATGGCAAACAAACAGGTCAACATAATTACTAGGCTGGTAATTTACTACCGTAGTAATTACACCAATTCCAATTACCTGATGGCTTTCCAAACATACCCTTGGTTTCGCCAGGGAAAAAGGTACCAATGTTCACTACCTTTTAACAACCTTGTGAAGAAAATAGAATACAACACCCTTGGCTAATTGATCAGTTTAGGTACAAAAATCATAGACCTTTGGTACTTATGCACAAACTAATTGAAAACTCTTTGATGAGTTTAGATACAAAAATCACAGGCCTTTGTTATTTGTGCACAACAATCTAATTGAAAACTCCTCATTTGACACATGACCAGTGAACAGCTAACAACCAATGTGGTGTGATTTTACAAGAACAACAAATAGTGTAAACTCAATTAGCTCCAACTCTAGGTCACATATAAATTATAAAGATGTATCTTCACCTCGCTCACGGGCAATAGAAGCTGAAAGAATTGCAAGATCGCGATTCAAGAGTGTAAGTGCAGTTTCACATTCGGAGATTATTCTTGTCACGGAAGATGGCTCGCCAGCCACTGTTTCAGAGGAACCAACAGCTACAGCTGCATGTGAATCCCGAAGATTCTTCAAGTTTCCTAGGAACTGTCAAAGATGTCAAGACAAAGGAATTACTCATGTAGATCCTCTTGAAGATGGCATTAGCGTATTATAAGGCAATAAACAAGACCGAAACAACCACCACACTCAACAATGTCAAACAAAGCTAAAACAATCTCTTCCTAGTAAAAGGGATGGTCAACTAAACGACAGCCGATGTCATCGATGCTCCTACCTGCATTGGAGTTTTTATCGGCAAAGCATACAACACTAGTGAAACCTCTTTCATCCCCATAGAACTGGCTCAGATCTTCCAAAATTTAATAAAATGGGCTTTCTGTTGATAAAACACTAAACTCTATCCTGAACAAACATATAATTCATATTAAAGTACCTTCCAGAGCATCTTATATGCTTCCAATAGTCTATTGGCAGCTGGCCCAAACCCATGCAGTTGTGGTACTTCCATCATGTGGGTCCATGGACGTATTTCCTACAGTTATAACCTCAAATATGTTATGCAGAGAATATACAAACACAAAAAGTTAGAAGGGACATATAAAGGCACTGAGCCAAAGGGTAAGGAAAGGAGGACTTGATGGGGGTTCCATCACAAAATACCAGCCTCTATAGTATGCAATCAATGAAGATAACCGCTTGAGTCATAATAGATGAATAATGAAGAAAACAAAACCTTAGTATAGATTGTGTTGAAGGTCCTTGCAGTGTCTAAAAAGGATTCCAAATGTCCCCGTAGTTTTGCTTCAACATCTACATATTCCTCATCTGGGTTGTATGGATGCTGTAAGAGAAGAATTAACCATGACTTCCCGTTGAACACAAAATATAACCAATTGAAGCTTATAGATACTAACTGAAACTAAATACAAGAGAAACAAAGCAGTGAGTGCTGAGAGGATTAACCTTTGATGCTAAATCATCAACCATTTCCTGAAGACTCAGAAGCCTATTTGATTGATCTGAAAGTTGCTTCTCCAAATCAGATATGTCTGGCCTGAACTTCGATTACAATAGGATCAATAGAAAGTTACTATCGGGAGAGTAAATAAAGCAGACGATATATGGTTCTTCAAGCAAGCAGGCACATATAACCTTGTTTTCAAAAAGGATGATATCTCACCAAATAACTGCTGGCTAACAAGTCAGAACCGGAACAGGACCATCGCAGTAATATTGAAGGACCTATCTATAACAGCATTCCACTATAACAACCTAATTTTCTTTGGAACTGACTTTCAAATTATATTATATTAAATATTCTCAGTAACAACATCTCGTTATAGCAGCCAATAAAAATATTCAAACAACAATGCCGTTATAAAGAGGTTTGACGGTATATGAGGATAAGCAGTCTCGAACAAAGCAAAGATTATAAGTGAATCATTGTTTTCAGCATTCTTTTCCTTTCAAATTCTCTACATACTTTGCGTCATTCTTCCTTCACCCAAGAAGTGGCCAGGTTGATTGAATTCAACCCCCTCCTCCCCCCAAAAGCCCAAACCATCTTTCTACTCTTCATCCTTTTCTGCTTTCCCTTTGAGGAATCTTTGACAGCATAAATGCCACAATTTTTCAGCTTAGTGGAAATGAAGGGTAAAAAAAAAGAAAAGAGAAAGAGATTCTCCTTAAGACTTGTCAGAAGAATTTGCCTGTTTCTTTTCCCGATAATTAGGCAGAAAAAAGGTGCCAGACCTAAAAAATTATGGAAAAAGTGAACACTAAATTGCAGGTGCAGAAGCAGCAACAATCTCAAAAGGTTCTCACTTTAGGTGCTACTGTTGAATACAATTTTTTTTATTTTTTTTTATGACAAGGGAAACCCGCAGTCGCTATCTTTGGGTGCGCACAGGGTAAAACCCACGCTCCTATGCAATAGCTCGCAAACCACATAGGA